TGCAGTGTCTCTGCATGTGATACGTGTCAGTTCTCAGCACACTACAAAGACACTACAAAAACAAATCAACTTCAAAATTCTTCTCAGTTCTGTCTTAATGTGCCATTCTCAAAAATGATTTCTTCTAAATGAAATTAAAATGATACTGATATGTGATTCATTTACTGGAGTTGTCAAGGGGTCTATAACAGCTGATGCCTCCATGAGGAGAGAGTTCACAATATTAAAATCTTCATGTACATGACTGAGACATAATCAGTTACAAAATCAAACTCTTTCGCAATCATGGAGGCTATTTCTTCTAAAACAGGAGTTACGGTAAGAGAGGATGAGAAGAAGAGAAGCTAGTTTAAAAAAGAGGACCTGACTTTGTTAACACTGTCTGACACTTGGGGATTGTGGACAGAGTCTCATTTCATGATTCCCAATGTGTGGAAGATGAGGAGGGTAAAGGAGAAGAAAAGAGAATGGGGTGGGGGGAAAAAAAGGAAAGATGCCTCGGAGCAGTGTTACCATGACAACTCCTTTGTGGCACATTCATTTTTTTTTTTTTTTTCATTAGAGCCCAGGGGCACAGAGCAGCATGTGTGTGTTTGTGTGTGTAATTGATTAGCATCATAGATAGGCTCAGGCTAAGAGACTAACCTGTAGGCTTTGTCCTGTGGCATTACATGCCTCATTTAGAGAGATTAGCTTTCTCAGTCAGTCATGTCAATATTTATCAGTAGGTAACTCAGCCAATCTCATAAGCAATGTGAATATGCTCCACCCACAAATGCTTTCGTAGCTACTGTTGCATGGTTGGGCAGGCTTGGCAAAACTCCCATTCAAACTGCTAAAACATTTTAGCACAGTTTCGGCACTATATAATGCTGAGTTTCTAGTTTACCAAGCTGGACTATGTTGACAGTTAATCAGATTGGAAATGATGATGAATTTTGCACCATGTTAGCTTTAGCTCAATTACATTAAAAAACTGCATCCAATCTATTCTAACAATGCGGCTTCTCAAATGTATACAAAACAAGCATCATTTGAAATTAATAAGGTGCTCTGAATTTTTGGGTATTTTGACAAAAACTATGCTACAAATTATCTTTAGATTGAATGGTATTTTTGTCCTACAATGCTTATCCAACCTAGCAACAGTCAGTAGTAAGAACACATCTGAGGGTGGAGCCAAATTCCTCGTAGGAAAGACTGTTCTTTTGGCGACCATCTTTGAAACGCCTCCGGGCAGTTATTTCCAGTCAAACAAAAGACTCCTCTCTATTTAAATGGGGAGAGACCTAAAAACTCAAAACTGAAGGTCAAATTGCTGTTTAAAAACATAGCGTCACTGTCCGAAGAACAACATGTATCTCCGTTTTTTGCAATTTTCACTTTTCTGCATCATTTGAGCATGACACTTGCACTGTACATTGTAGTGTGTACAATATACTTCTAACATTTTAAAGTTCAGCTTTTGCTAGTTGGAATAATATTTTAGCATGTAGAAAACTGAGTTAGCGCATGCTAACACTTCGTTTGTACTGGCAAAAATTGTTTCTTCCATGGAAATGAATTAGGAAAAGCATGAGTTACTGTTAACTCAGGGCCTGTATTTATTGGGCCTGTAGTCTATTCATACAGAACACAATAGGATTGCTGATCTAGGATCTGTTCCTAATAAGGTCAAGGTACATAAGAGAGAGACCCTAGAAAAGCACTCCTACTCTGAGAAGCTTAGGCCCTGAAATCTTACATGCTAAAAGCTTGATGTTACATTTATATTTAGATGTGCAGTGAAGTGACACTCCATTACTAGCCCTGCTAAACACTGTTCTAAAGCCTAAAGTTACAGCCAGACAAAGCACTGTTGATAGTAGAGTTTATTTTACTGTTGAGATAAGTGTTTCACTCCATTTTAGTCAGAACAGTGGAGCGAATTAGATGATACAGACCTGAATGTCTGCCAGTGCCTTGAGTCTGAAACACTTCTACAATAACAAACACCAGTTACTAAGGAGCTTAAATGCTGAACCGGCAGAGCGCCCTCTCTATCTTCAGCTCCCAACTAGCCACTTTCATTCCTATTTAAAAAAAAAAATCAGTTGGCCGTGTTTGCGACCCGGCTGGAGTAGCAGATGAGCATCTCTCCCCATGGCAACCGTGTTCAATATTGCCATGACAACCAGTTTTGTGGGGTAAAAAAAGACAACAAAGGTGGGGTGGGGGCACACCGAGCACCGAGCTGGGGGATGATGGAGAAAAGCACTGAGAAACAGCTCATCTCCTTAAAGCGGAAAGCATTTTCTCTCTAAACTTTCCGTAAGCTTTTTTGTCCAGTCATGCTGGTGCTTCACTGCTCACGCTGCACCAAACAGCTGCTGGTGGAAGATAGGAAAGAGGTGAGTGTAATTACCCACACAGGTAATTACTGTAGTAGAACTAAGGCCTTTTCTACTGCTGTCATATTAGAAATATACATGGCTGAGATAAATAACACAAATTCACTAAGGGGGACTATGGAAGCCTGTTTTCACCACTTGAATAAGAAAGCCATATAGCATGTCATTAGAATGAAAATTATGACTTACTATCTCATAATAATGACTTAGTGTCTCATAATAATAACTTACTGTCTCATAATAATGACTTAGTATCTCATAATAATGACTTAGTGTCTCATAATGATTTAGTATCTCATAATAATGACTTGGTGTCTCATAATAATGATTTAGTATCTCATAATAATGACAGTGTCTCATAATAATGACTTAGTATGTCATAATGATTTAGCATCTCATAATAATGGCTTAGTAGCTCAATAATGACTTAGTATCTCATAATAATGACTTAGTATCTCATAATAATGACAGTGTCTCATAATAATGACTTGGTATCTCATGATAATGACGGTATCTCATAATAATGGCTTAGTAGCTCATAATAATGACTTGGTATCTCATGATAATGGCTCATTATCTCATAATAATGACTTAGTATCTCATAATAATGACTTAGTATCTCATAATAATGACATAGTGTCTCATAATAATGACAGTGTCTCATAATAATGGCTTAGTAGCTCATAATAATGGAGTTGGAGATGTAATAATAATAATAATTAATAATGAAGTTTCTCATAATTATGACTTGAGATCAAAGTAATGACTTCAAATTGATCATCAAATTCTAAAAATGTTATCACAATTATAAGATGCTAAGTCAGTATTTTGAGACACTAAGTCATAAGTATGAGATTGTATGGCATAATTATGACATAGTAAGTCATAATTATGAGATGCTATGTCAAAATTATGACAAATGGTCTTTACTATGAGATAGCAAGCCATAATTATAAGAGTATAAGTCATAATTATGACACAGTATCGCATTATTATGTTATTATGGGACAGGAAGGAATGATTATGAGATACTAAGTCATAATTGTGGGATATCATCTCATTATTATGAGGCAGCAAGCCATAATCCTGAGATAACACATCATAATTATGAAACAGTCATAATATTGTGAAACGTTCTCATTATTATGACTTACTAAATGGCTATTTTTTTCTGTGGTGGAAATGGACAGACAAGAGCGATGCATTAGACAATGGTGTGAAAATGTTAGAAATAAGCTAAAGCATTATCAGTTAGTTTGGCATCAGAGGTTTTTGGATGGATTGCAGTTAAATGTGTCAGCTTTCTTGAAAATCTTGTGAAGGCAGTTCTCTAGTCTAGACACTGTCAAAAAGGGTGCTGTCCAGGTGAATTTTAGTCCACTAAGGTACAACATGGTCATTAATGTCCGACTGTACTGTATACCTTAAAAACGTTTTAAAGATACACATCAATTTTCTCAGGAAAAAAGGGATATACACAACTTTTAAAAATATAAAAAATACAATAAAAAGCATGGAGTCAAGACATGGCGTATGGAGCCAATGCAACTTGCAATGGAATATAATACAATTATGTTCTGTAACTAAAGGTATTGAAGTTGTGTATTATTTTCTATAAGATAATTATATCTTGAATATTTTCACTTTTGCATAATATTTCTACCATACTCTCTTTATGGAAGAGTATAATATTAGTTTAGGACACTGTAGTGTATTATAGTATAGAATTGACCATTTTAGAGTATAATAGGAAACCTGTAGAAAGTCCTTTAGCATTACTATAGCTCTTTTTCAGAAGTGCAGAGAGAGAGAGAGAGAGAGAGAGTAAACATGAGAGACAGGCAGGAGAGAAAGACAGAGGGAACAAGCAAGCTTAACAATAATTAGAAGAGCTTATCTGTCCCAATCACCATGGAGACGCATGTGTTTTCCTCTCCGTTTAGCGTTTAGCATGTGGCCGTGGAGGTCTGCAGGCAGGCAGGCAGAGGGAGGCTTTGGCAAAGCTCTGCTTTCACACATCCAAACCACGGCAACACACCCAACATACGCACACTGCCACCAGAGTTCCAGCAGCAGGAACCTTCAGGAGGGCTTTGGAAGATTATGAATTAAGAGTAATGTTCCAGCTTTCAGTATTTGGGGAATATTTTATTTATTTGTATTCCTGCAGAGGTGCATAGAAACACATGCCTACATGATACGATATATTAACAGCATCACCATAGACACACATTATACAGTTTCATTAACGGTTACTGTACTGTACCATACAATCTTATATGAGGAACCTCTTATTGGTGTGTTTCGTCTCCCCAAGTACACGCACAAATGTTTTGGGGGAAGCAACATTAAAGATAAATACAATAAAAAAAATAATCTCTCTTCATTTCATGTATAGTTACTGTTATAGCAGATAATGCATTTGTGGCAAGATTATGCTAACTGTATAATATATGCAATGACCTTACATACTGTGCTACATATGACTGTGCTTTTATTTACAAATTGTACTTTCTAGTCTAGGAGTGGGCTTGTACATTAAAACGAAACTAACATTCTGTTTGCTTCTTAAACATAAGGCAACTATGGCAGACTATATACTGGACAGAACGACTCGCCTGTTTGACAGATTATACTCTATCTTCCTCTGTCCATGTGTCCAAATATGATGGACATACGTTCACTTCTCCAAGAACAATGGGCAGTTTTCTCCATTACGTGACAGTAGGCACAACTGGGGCAGATTATAGCATGTATCCCTATATAGGAGGTTTAGGTAGTCACTCACATATACACCATAATGGTGCTTGGTCCCCTTTCAACCAGTGACATTACAGATGGTCACAAAAAATGAAGACAAGTGATTCAAGGCTCTTTTATAAGGAATTGATTGGTGGTTATTTCAATTGGAGCCATGAAAATCAGAGCGCTTCTGTGCTCTTCAACAGAGGTGCATCAAAGAATCTTTTTTTAATCCCTACAATAACCCCTTTTCAAGTGGTTCTTGGAAAAAAAGGGGGAAAAAAAATCATGTCTTTGGAAAATGGCTCTTCAAAGCAGCTGTCTAAAAGGGTTTCCCAGAGACAAAAGGCTTCTTAGAAGCAACTTCTTTAGTTCCAGTGTGTTCTGCGGGTCCATTGCACACTGCTGCTGTCTCTTTAGCAGAGAAGCAGAGCTGTGGAATGATGCTGATCAGATACAGACCTGCTATGCTTTAGTCAAAACAAAGCCGAGCTCCCGATTTGTATCATAAGGACAGTGATGATTTATAGAACTAGATTTATCCGATATAAGGGCATGACTTCACTAAGCAATTATCAGACATTGGTTCTACAGTACTCTATGGCACACCTCATGAGCTTGTGTTCGCTTCTGAAAATCCAACTCTGATATCATATACCTCAAAAACTTCGCCACTCACAAACAGTTTAAAAGTTCCTGAAGATTAAAGGAAATATTGCTCATATGGAACAAAGGTTTCCACAATGATGCTTACAATGTTAACGGCATTGTGAGAATTCACCTCAGGTAAGACGACATAGAGTACACTCATGTGCCCTAGTTATTAAGTACATCAATGTTATTTCAGATCCAAGGTATGACATACAGAGCAAGGTCATGCAAAGACATGCTGGGATGCTTGAAGACAAGTAGATGTGTACGTGACTATGCCATCAAAAGCGTTACATATACTACTAGCACGCGAATGTGTTGTTTAAGGGAAGGGAACATAATGCATGGATGTGACTGCTGGATGAAAGAGTGACCCCAATCACCCCTAAAGAGGTCGGCAGGCTCCATCATGATGCATTTGGTGCTTCAGGTCAAGGTAGTAACTTCAGGCTGGGTATAGCTGGCTGCTGCCGCAAGGGCGTCTTTGCAGGTCTCTGTAACAAAGAAACAAATGAAAGCACAGTGACTATGTTAATATTTATACCAGTTGTTTGATCTTGCCCTAAAGACAGCTAGTCTAACACATGATTATGTAAATAGCATGGTTCAATCACTATGGTCTGACGTTCAGTACTGTGCAAAGAGACCACCATTTATTTGGTTTCCAATCAAAACATTAATTAAGTACAAGTTATTCATTTTTAGGAGATATTTCTGAAGGGATTAGATATAAGAATCCACTTGCATAGTGAAAGTAAAATAAGAGTGTTCCCCAAACTGGATTTAAAATATATTTAAAAGGACTCCCAGAAACCATGTAAGCCCTTGTAGACCACCGAAAGTGTCAACATCAGAAAAACAGTACTTAAAGCCTTTATCTTAGAGAGAGAGGAGAAAATCAAGCTCCACTTTTGATTCAGATCTGAAAAAATCCACAATTGTTTCTGTCCATCCTTCCACTGTAAGAAGACAACTCAGCACTATGAGTCTGAAAGGATGTGTAACTGTCAAGAAGCCGTTTTCGAGAAAAAGAAATGTGTGATCAGAACAATGGACTGGCCACTATAGCTCAGACCTCAATATCACTGAATATGTTGGAGATTACTTGGATCGTGAGAAGCAGGAAATGCAAAAAACTTCTAAGACTGAACTTTGGAGACGTGGAAAAATATCCCTGCAAATTTCTTTGGAAAACTGAGAGCAATTCTCCTGAAGAGAATGGAAGCTGTAATAAAGGCAAAGAGTGGACACTAGAAAAATGTATATTGTATTTACAACCCAATTTCCAAAAAAGTTAGGATGTTTAGGATGAAATTTTGATTTTTGAAAAATATATGCCCATTTTGAAATTGATGCCAACAACACGTTCCAAAAAAGTTGGGACAGGAACAACAAAAGGCTGGTAAAGTTAAAAAACTAACTAAAAAAAATGGTGGTTGATTGGCAACAGGTCAGTAACATGATTGGGAATAAAATGAGCATCGCTGAGAGGCAGAGTCTTTCAGAAGTAAAGATGGGGAGAGGTTCACCACTCTGTGAAAGACACATGAAAATAGTGCAACAATTCAAGAATAACGTTTCCCAACGTAAAACCGCAAAGAACTTTTACTTTTCATCATCTATGGTACATAATATCATTGGAAGATTTAGAGAATCTAGAGAAATCTCTGTATGCAAGGGACAAGACTGAAAACCAGTATTTGCTATCCATGATCTTTGGGCCCTCTGGCAGCACTGCATTTAAACAGACATGATTCTGCAGTGGAAATCTGCATGGGCTCAGGAACACTTCTGAAAACCACTGTCTGTGAAAACATTTTGTTGCTGCATCCACAAATGCAAGTTAAAACTCTAAAATGCAAAGAAGAAATCATATATAAACAGGATCCAGAAATGTTGCCACCTTCTCTGGGCCTGAGCTCATTTAAAATGGATTGAGGGAAAAGTGTCCTGTGGTCTGACAAATCAAAATTTGAAATTCTTTTTGGAAATCATGGACACTGTGTTCTCCGGGCTAAAGACCATTAGGCTTGTTATCAGTGCACAGTTCAAAAGTCAGCATCCGTGATGGTATAGGGGTGCATTAGTGCACATGGCATGGGTGACGTGCACATCTGTGAAGGCACCATTAATGCTGAATGATATATGCAGGTTTTGGCAACATATGCTGCCATCCAGACAACATCTTTTTCAGGAAAGGCCTTGCTTATCTCAGCAAGACAATGCCAAACCACAGTCTGCACGTTGACCCCGAACTGTTGAGCAGCTAAAATCCTATATCAAACAAGAATGGAATAACATTTAACTTTCAAAACTACAGCAATTGGTCTCCTCAGTTCCCAAATGCTTACAGAGTGTTGTTAAAAGAAGAGGTGATGAAACACAGTGGTAAACATGCCCCCAACTTGTCCCAACTTGTTTGGAAATGGGGTTGTAGTTGTTGAGGCTTCTGCGTAATTTTCTGTCAGATATGTTTCCGCTTTTTTCCAATACTGAAAAATGAATAACTTGTTCTTAATGGCTGTTCTTACTGGAAATTAAATAATGAAGGGTGCTCTCTGACTTTTGCATAGTACCGTAAGTCTTAGTGCGATTAAAACAAGTGATTCAGCCCAACCTTGAGATTATTTGAGATTGATTTGGACATGTAACCACTTAAATTGCGAAACTGATCGTCTGTCCCACTTGTGGTTTTGTGTCCTTGTGAGCACAATCATGTGCTTTCCTGTTGGTGTCCAAGTGTTCTCCATTTCTCAAACTTGTAAAAGCACAGTGTGCAAGATTGTTTGGGTGGCCATGGTCAAATGACACGTTTTGTTGATTTTGATAAAGTGAAAATAAGTCCTCTAGAAAGAACACACATCTGCACATTTTAATGCACAATTACTGTTTATTTAGCATTTTGGAAAAAATAAAACATAAAATGCAATGCATAAAAAGGCCTGTGCAAAAGTTATGGCACATTTTAAGTTTTGTTTTATTTTTTTGTTCCCAAACTGTTAAACTTAGCTTTTTAGTTTGTTCCCTAAAGATGTGTTAACTTATTTTCACTTCAAAAATCAAAAACACATGTACTTTGATTAGGGCTGTATATACCATAGTTCAGCATGTTGGTGATGTTCTTACATGTTGTTTTGGAAGTACTGGACAATAACAATAATGTGTGAGAACATCTGCGACTAGCTGTCCCACAAGGATAAAATACATGTCACACCTGCAGTCTAGACAGGTTCTGGTGCACTTTTGCCAATTTTGGAAATCTTACTTATCTTGGAAATCAACTTAAACTGCAAGTGTGGGACAGGCCGTGACTCTCATGTGTGATTTTTTGAGACATTTTGTAGGAATTCCCACAATATCACACTGCTGATGTAAACTTTTTGACACAAAAACAAAAATGAGTGACAAAAGGTGAACAGACTCTCACTTTTAGGGGATAAAAAGACCCTCCCTCATATTAAACATTTTGTCAGAAACAGATATTAATGATACATTTAGATAAAAGAAAAATCACTAATATCAACAAGCATTACCTTATTGAATTGAGCATTTCACGTTACAGGTAAATCAGACTATGACGTGCATATAAACAGGACAATAAATGAATTTTTGTAAATGTCTTAATTTGGTCCAGCTTCTAATACTAATGAAAAATATGGTTGGGCTATTCTGTGCATGCCAACATAGCTAACGTAAAGCCAGAGTTTTATACCAGAATAGATTCCTTTTTCTCTATTGCCGTTATTTATTGCAGGTTGGAAAGGTATTAAAAGCCATAATCCTCATAATTGTGCTGGAAGTCAGAACATTGCAGCTGTAGTACATAAATATTGACATTGCAACAATGTGTAATTTTATTCCAATACAATTTTACACAGAAAGGCTGGAGATAACAGTAGGATTCTGTTTGTGCAACTGAACAGTGCTCCAGCACCTACCAGCCCAGATGCATTTATATAAGAATGTACACAGAGATACACTCCTGCTCTCTGGTGCAGAGCTGATTTAAACCAGACCACCTCTGGCCCTCGCAGACACCGAGCAGGCTCCCGCAACACAGTGGTGATCAAGAGAAAGGCCTTGAGGTTCACCCATGCTGCTTGTGAAGGCCTATTAGCAGCAATTAAAGTAGAGATGTCACTCGGGACCAGAAGCACGTCCAGAACTCACGCTGCTGCTGTGCCTGCTGATGGTGCGTTTCAGAGGTGGCTGACTGCTCTGCCACATCATTACACTCCCATCAGAAAAGAGGCAGCCTGAAACCGGCAGTGCTGCTCAAATGCACATGCTAATCAGGCAGGCTATTTATGGGAGAAAACCAGCTTTCTGAGAGGCATGGCTGTGACACATGAGAGCTTCATCATTTCTTCATTTTTTGAGGGGGAACAAATATTTGCAAAGCCTACAAAGAGCAAGATGAAGTCATTAGGAGCTGATGAAAAGACGAAAACTAATTTCAACTAAGAAATCACAATTAACAGCACAATTTAATCTGGAATTAGGCGGAGCGTATGGGCCAATGACATATTATATACTGTTTGCCAATTACAGTGAGTTAGATCTAATAATAGACCTTAATAAGGAAGTGTCAGATGTTTAGATGAAAATGTACTTGAGCTGCAAATCCTTTCAAATCCTACAAGCTCCACCAGCTTTTTTGCACTACATTCCAATGTTCTTTTGATAGAAGAAACTAGTATATAACAAAAACAATATATAATATCAGTTTTCAAGATATTTTCACCAGTAGAGAACCCTCAGGGCCTTCTAGGCCTTCACAGAAGACCTAATTATTTCTAGGAGCTAAAAAATTACATGACTGTAGTTTTTAGTTTATTTTGTATTAATCATACTTGTATTCTGCAAGTACAGTAGCAATCTTTGTTAAAGTTTGGTTAAAAACAACAGTGTTAAAATCTCGAAATGCCCAATAAAAAATTATTCAATCAGGATTTTTTCCCCTGTGGTATCTAGATGAAGCTAATTGAGCTCTTTCATAGGTTAGGCCTTCAGGGGCTGGACAGAAGGCCTTAGACCTTAGATTACCCTATATGGTGAGAGGAATCAACCAATCAAGTTTTCATTTATAATTGGTGGAACCAATTTTGTGAGTAAAAACATCACTCTAGGCCTTCTGGAAGCCCTAGATATGTCAATGTTTGCAAATATAAATAGCCTAACCAGGTTTCAGATGTTGGAAAATAGCAGCAGTACTGAAGAAATATGTGTAAAATATATGTGTGATATACGACAACATCTGTTACAAGCTTCAAGCGAAAATAAAGGAACGTCTTTTACAAGCATCGAATGTGCTTAGTCTAAAACAGCCAAAAATGTTTAAGAGCTTAGTGCTTACATACTATTAGAAATCCCACAATGGAACTGGCAGTAATTATCATTATTGTAGAGGTGGGTCTCTTCACTGTTTTTTGACCACGTTTTGCCATTTATGACTCAAACTGAAGGTCTAGCTATGATAGTCATGGTTCGCCACTGCAAAGGCACAGGGCAGTATCTATGCCAAGAGGGAAACAGAGAAAAATAGTTTCAATATTATTTTGTTTTTCAGTCAAATATGTTGTCTGTAATCATACTGATGATGAATGACACGTGACTTACATACCAACAGCACATTTATCTGGACAACAGAACATCCTCAGTTTCACTGTCAGCGTACTTACTGATGTTTGCATTTGTAGGGCAGAATGAATGTTTTGACTGACAGAACTTCCTTAGCATATATCAGTAAATTTGGCAATGACACGTCTAATGATAGCACGGCATCCAGAGGTCTGGTCATGGAGTCAGCGCCCTTAATCGCTGTTCATTTTCTGACAAGGCCACAGCTGCCACCGCTGCTGCTGCCCAGACTTCTATCGATTCTTCAAGTGCATCTGTCTCAGCACTGGCAGGGGAAATTACACGGCCTTTCAAACAGACCAGAAATCAACCGTCACAGCATGTCTGAACAGGTTATTCGCCCTTTGCTTGAGTCTTCTATGAATGGGGAGGAACCACAACATAACATCAGTATGGTTGAATAAGATACCATTCAAATTCTAATTAAGTTCCAAGCCAAAAACTGAATACTTCAAAATTAGGACACCAAAGGTACATTATCACTGATAAAAAAAATCAAAAACACCTTTTTAAATCTTTTTCACATTAGCTATACATTGCAATGGAATATATTTTAATGGAAGTTTGTATGATTTACAAAACTGGAAGTGACCTGGATTTTTATGGTTGTAGGTGAGCAAGCAACTATTATAAAAGTGTTTTAGTTGTGTTGAAATTTTATTTATTATTGTGGCACCTGTACACAGTTTTATGATATGAAGAAAGCTGTAGTTGTGGTGTCTGTTTTATCTAGGCACGGCCGTGGAAAGTGTGAATTTTTTCAAAACAGAAGGTTCTACCCTTCCCCTTTCACTCCTCATTGCTTGCTAGCAGTCATAACATTTCACAGACAGAAAGACAATCTCATAATAGATTTACAAAGAATATATTTTATTATATTTGTATTTATATTTTGTTGGAATGCAAACCTGTAGCCACACTGGCCCTTTGCGGAATAGACTGGACACCCCTGCACTAGGGTTAGAGCTACAGAAAAAGGTTAACCCCTTAAAATCTCAGGCTTTTTACATACTAAGGCTTATTATTTAGTAACTACAGGGACTTCAGTGCAAACTGGCTGAGCTGTTCTTAGGCTATAGAACTGTGTAATAGGACTTTGCATGGCCATTTAAGAGGTTAAATGCTGTAGACAGGATATTTATGCTGGCTGTGCACTAACATACCACAGTAGATCATTCTGGGTACTGAAGCACAAATAGCAGCAGATCTGACCCTACAACCCCTCTGGTTCTCCATATTTTCAGGCTCTAAGAGGTTAAAATGTCACAGCTAACAGCAGTTAATTCTCAAACATTCAAATATAAAATTGTTATTAAAATTGTGCATAATGTGATACTGCCCAGGTATCTTGTTGTAAGGACTTTTATGAATGTTTACGTATCGTCCATGTGCATTTTTCAAATGTTTATGTATTAACCTTGCACACCATTATGCCCAAAGTCACATCTGAACAGTTATCAATGGTACTGTTTCCACAAAACAAAACAAAAAAGAATTTGGCTTAAAAATACATTAATATAAAACAAAAAACACAAAGAAATGGGAAAACTGCCTTTTGGCATGTATGGCTTTTAGATTCTAATCATAACCTATATACTGTCGAGGACCCGTCCAGTACATCAAGACATGGTAGTCTGTCTTTTATAAACCTGAACTGCCTGGCTCAGGTGTGTTGAAAAGAATAAGAATGAGCAGGTCTTCACTGGCCTGGGAACATTTTGTCTCCATTAGCCTCATTCATGTTAGGGTACCAGATTTTTTGTCCTTATGCCAATCTACAGATGGGGCCTTCCAGGATGTAGCAAGGTACAAAAAGCTTATTCTCAGTACACTTTTGTATGTATCTAGATTTGGCAAAGCATAGCAAACGTCTACTGTTCACATTTTCCATTTCCCATTCCCCAAGAGACATCTTCAGATTTGAAAAGTGAATGTTTATGCTCCAGCTGAACACAACTTGCCTGCCTATCAGATTATTGGCCGGACACACTGTTCATGGCCAAGCTCTCTGATACTGCTGATATTCAATCCTGTAACTGTCAGATGTTAGGGTGAGTTTTATGACTGGAAGAAACACCATTCATTTTGTGGTTGAATTTATAGAGACCGCCATAAATGATTTGTATATTGCTAACATACAATGCTTTTACCAATCGTCCCAAAACTGTTGTAGAGAAACACTATTTGTAAGTTGATAAGATACAGTCATATGCAAAAGTTTGGACACCCCAGGTCAAATAACAGGTTTTGTTGTTTTTCTAAGTGAAAATGAATCATCAAAAGTGATTTAAAATGGCACCTCTCCTATTCCGAGATCTAAAGTCTCAGTAAAAAGTACCATCAATCAGTTCCAATCACTACAACTATGGGCTTCTTGGTATGGCTGATTGATGGTTTGAATGAATTAACTTCAGTCAGTATGGACCCGAGTCTGTACAGTAAGCTACGCTTACTTACACATAAACATAAAGTATGTGGCTGCATTTATTGCACTCAAGCCCTACATTTGTATAATAGACCAGACAATAAAGCATTAAATCAATCAGTATTACGTTTTGAAGTAGGGAGGCTAATAGACTCAAAGAGCTAAAGGGAGCCAATAGACTTAAAGAGCTTTTCCTATGACCTTAAATTTCCTATGGCCTTAAATTTATCTGATTTTTGTCTCATGGAAAAACAAATTTACTTTACTATTAAAATATAAGAGTGTGATATTGTATGTAAACATTGTGAGTACTGTTTACTCCCCAGTCTATATGGTCCATAGATGGAAACTAAGTTGCAAAAACAGCCAAGTAATTCAATGAATTCATTGTTTTTTCTTTTTTAATGTATTGAAAACCCAACACATTTATGTATACCCCCCTATTCAGCCTACATCAGTTTAGCCCTGTCCATTCACCTTGACGTTATGAGGAGTTTTTCAGGCCAGACTGCTTTTTGAACAAGGCACAATACAGGGCAGTCAATCAGGACAGAGTACATTTACATACATCGTTCTTAAAGGCACAGTAACAAAAATAGCCTGTTTAATTCTACAGGATAAACAGAGGTTGAAAAATGGACATGTAAATAAAAAAATAGTTCACAAATGTCAGAAGTGGCCTCAGGAAAAAAATAAAATTAAATACAAGAAAAATGTGGGATATGGGCCCTTTAACTTGGGCTGTTTTGGGTCTTCTGGACAGTGTTTAACCCCAACAGACAGCACAATACCATACAAGCCTGATTTGTGGTTGCGGTCTAGTGGCTGTACCTGTGCGGATGGTGGGATCAGCTCCACAGGAGAAGTCTCCGGAGGTCAGGAGGAAGCAGGTGCCCTCTTTCTTGCCCTTGTCTCGGTTGCGTGAGCGTCGTAAGGACCACTTCTCACTGGGGGAAAGTGGCTGGGTGAGACTGCAGCCCTCTTCATCTGACAGAGCTGCATTAGCATCCCCATTCTGCTTTGAGTCTGACAGCAAAACAAAGAAGAAGGAGACAGAGATGTCAATGGATTGGCTTTAGTTGTTATGGATGTATGATCTATTTGTCTACTTTTGCACGATGCATTCATTCTATTTACCTGAACGGTTTCTCACAATGTTCTCCTCAGGTGCAAGAGGGCATGTGTCACTTTGCGTGCTGTTCCTATGGGAGTTGCTCTCCGATTTTCCAAACGAGGCTGAATCCAACACTGCATCAGGGTTGGGGAGGTGCCTCTTCTTCTTCTTGGGCAGCTTCTGTTTGGCCATGGCCAGGGAGTAGTACATTCCAAAATTATTTACAATAACAGGGACAGGCATGGCAATGGTCAGCACGCCTGCTAACGCACACAGAGCACCAACCATCATACCCAGCCAGGTCTGAGGATACATGTCCCCATAACCCAGGGTTGTCATTGTGACCACTGCCCACCAGAAGCTGATTGGAATGTTCTTAAAATGAGTGTGACTGATGCCGTGAGGGTCATTCGGGTCTGCACCGATACGCTCAGCGTAGTAGATCATGGTGGCAAAGATGAGGACACCAAGGGCAAGGAAGATGATAAGGAGGCAGAACTCATTAACACTGGCTCGCAGGGTGTGGCCAAGCACCCTCAACCCTACAAAATGTCGAGTCAACTTGAAGATCCGCAGAATCCGCACAAAACGCACCACTCGCAAGAACCCGAGCACATCTGAGGCGGCTTTGGAAGACAGTCCACTCAGACTCATCTCCAGATAGAAGGGCAGAATGGCCACAAAGTCAATTATGTTCAGAAGGTTCTTAATGAAGACCAGCTTGTCAGGACAGCAGATGATGCGCACCAGGAACTCAAAGGTAAACCACACCACACAGATGCCCTCCACTAGGGTGAGCACAGGCTTGGTTACCACCTCCAGAGTGGCCACCACCCTTGTGGTGTTGCCTTCAGCAATCACCTCAGTACGGTTCTGAAGGTCGTTAAAGGCCTCGTGGGTCTCTAGGCAGAAGTTGGTGATGGAGACCAGGATGAAAAACAGAGAGACAAAGGCAATGATCTGCAAGACAAAACAACCATGTCAGCAGATGAAAGAGAATACATCTGGATCAAGAATAACATTACATAATATACTTCTCAAACGCCGCTGGTATTACCTTTTCACCTAAATCATTCAAATTTGATTGCATTTATGAGTTTTCACATCAAGTCTCATTGTGATACACTGATCATCACAGTGTGTCGATGATCAAATAGAACAAACCTGTTACTGCTGTCATAACAAAAACTTAGAGGAGAAGAAATAAACATTCTGTACTTTTAACATAAGTTAATGCAATGAAATTTTATTGGACCATTTAAATCCATTTGTCATAAAATATTCACACAGTGTAAAGGGCAGCCAGCATTTTCAGGAAGTGTGAAAAAATGAAAATTACATTTAAAAATTGAAATTAAAAAAAAGGAGATTTTATATGATAGCAACAATGTTCCATATCAAAATAAAAAAAGCAACTGTATCAATTAGGAAAATGCAGCTTAATCCATGTACATACAACATGATGTCAGCATAACTTTACATGTTTATAATAGGATGATTCTTTATATAAGCCTAACTACCATTTTAATTGAATTTGATTTTATTTACTTGTACTTTCTTTTTTTTTTTTAACTGTTACCAACGCACACTGACCTGTACTCTAGCATTTCAATCCAAATCACTGCCTTAGTTTGATTTAGCCAACTGGCATTAGATGGATTTATTCAGCGTGAGCACTCACAGCGCTGATGATCGTCTTCTGAAACTTACAAGCTGAATTTAGACATAGATTTTGGAGCCATACTCTAAACTTTCAAACTATACCACATTTGGGTTTGTAAGTATAAGAGGAGATATTTTATTATGATTCCAGTTTAATGAAAAGTTATTGTTGTATTGTTATTTTTTTTGTTTTGCGAGAAAAAATTCATTTGCGTCAACTGTTGACAAGAAACAAACAGAAGTGTCAGAATTGCTGACTCAAACTGGTCAATACAGAATATATACTGAATGCAAACTACGTAATTATGCCATTCTATAATTACATTTACACTGTAGCAAAATGAACCCTAGAATTAATGAATCCAAGCATTAATTCAAACAATTTGAAAAGGCCAAAAAATGTGGACTGGAAGCAGTTTTAGACTTTTTTGGGTCTCAGTCTCACTTGGACACAGATTTGACTTGGTCTCTGCACAATTTCTGGCCTCCATTGTTTATTGTAGGCAACATACTTGCTAACACATTTTGTAGAGACACCCTTTCAAAAACCTAAAACAAGGTTAAGTTAAACGGAATCTATATTACTATACATGCTTTGAATGTCAAGGTCAACAGGCCCTCACATCTCAATTCTAATTCACCCTGTTATCTATGCAATATCTGAATTAATCCCTGCAGTCAGATAACAGAAAAAACATATACCGGAAAGTGTTCTATGGCCCCATCCACCACTATTCTCAAGATGCAAAAAGAACATTAGTCTCTATTCAAATGATCCCATTATTTTATCCCGTCAAATAATTTCTTTAGGAATAGAAAAAACGTCTCTTACAGAATCGTCTCTCGAGTTAAATTAATCAAAGCAGTAACACACTGAGCCATGCTGTGTGAAAAAAAATCTCAATTAGCATTAACAATTACAGCTTCTTGGTTTAGTCGGCACAGCAGGTAGGCCTTCGTTTCAGCTCGACAGCAGCAGTGACAATTAAGACAAAGAGACAGAAATAAAGATACATACAACAGATGGCATCAGAGTGGCTCTTTTCTCAATGTAATGATCACATAAATAACCAGGCTATGGAAAGTTTCAGGCAAGCTTTATATTCGAATTATGTCATGGTACTAGGTGGAGATAGAGGGACAACAGAATGAGCAGAAGAGACATTAAAAAAGAAGGGGGTCTCTGGATGTACCCTGAGGTCCTGTAGCACTGAAAAGAATTTTTAAAAAGGCCCATGTCCTGCATTTATTTCGTAATTTATTTTCCCCTGAGGTCTACTTACAACGTCTGTGTGACGGCAACGTCTGTCATAAATCACTTTAACACGACCATTTTCCAACCTCCCTTTATACCTCAGAATTAAACAGGCTATGTTTGTTACTATGCATACATATATAAGAGTGACATGTAAATCAGCTCTCTTCTGATTGGTTGTCCTGTGTTGTGCCTCATTCAGAAAGCAGTCCAGGCTGAAACACTCCAGCATGAATGGGTATAGCTAAACCACGGTAGGTTAAGTAAGTCGATATTCAGCTTTCAGGTTTTCAGCTTAGTTTCCAGTAATGAACTGGGGAGTGACCAGTATGTTCTGAAACCTTAACAGTGTTTATATACTACATCAAAAATGCAAGGAAATAAAATGTTAGTTTCCATTATATGGACCCTTTAAGTGACACTAAAACTAAGCCATAAAAACTGTAAAGAGTGTGAACAATCAGAGTCAGCATTGCTGGAATGACAGTAATGTTGTTACACATTTAGACTTTAAAACTGTAAATGTGCGGATATTTAAGAATAAGAAGACTTAATGGATTTAATGCCATTTTTTTGTCAAGCTAGCGCTACTAGGCTGATGGTTTCAGGAAATAGCTGCCATTACTCATCCCTAACTAGGTTAGCATGCCACGGCTAGCTCTCTGAATGACACTGTTAGCTGTATGTGGAGACAACTAAATGCATTTTGAGGGAAGAGAGGGAGAGATGGAGTGAATGAATGGAGACAAAGGAGAGGAAGAGAAGGGGAAAGGGAAGGTGAATGAGAGAGGAGGCCATGGCAACGACGCCGTGCTTGTGCTTCACAGTAGGAGACGTGTACTCGTAATGAGAGCGGCAAGCCCGCCGGCATCACATGTTGCTAGATGTGCTAAGGTTTGTTTGTGTTTACATGTGCCCTCAGGTCAACCCCCTAACTGAATATCATGGTGACAGAAGCACTTACATTCAGTTGACTCTTTGCTGATTTCACAGCCACAGCAAGTATAGACAGCCTTGATTCAGCCCTATTCTGGATGTACTTTGAAACAGAGCCTAATAGAGCATCCATCATTCTGCTATTGACCATGTCATGAACACAATACCTGCACCTCTATTCTTCCGCTCTCAGCAGCTGTCTAAATATGCGCTCATGCCATACACACTCACAGCATCAAGCATCTCGTTTTCGACTTCAGAATCATAGAAACCACATTTTCACAAAAAGAGGAAATCTAATTTAAGTAGGCTAACTGCAAATTTCTATTCATCTGTCAATACCATTCATTTAACATGGCTCTATGCACTCAGAGCTGTTGGAAAGGGCAGTTTAATGTGCAAGTGTGCAACACTGAATCTTTAGTAAGGCCTCACCAGCTGTTATCCTGCAGCCTAATAAGCTTTTACTGATCGTTTTAACATCATTTATTCAAATGATATTGACGTTTTAAACGAGTTAAAGGTTTCTGTGGTCAGTTCCTCAACAATTTGATTCGATTATAGGAGAAGTTAATTATGGTCAGATTGAAGATTGCATTACGGCCAAATTGAATATTTATTTTGCTCAAGGTTTGCGGGAGGCTGGAACTTCGGTTTTAAAGTTTAGCTGGTCAGACATTCCTTAAATTAAACATGATTGAAGAATACAAAATATGAGCATAGCCAGGTTTTTGGCTCTTTAACAGTAACTGTAAATAGGGGCAGCAGTAAGAGGATGCAAAGTGATTTTACTATACACCTTACACCATCTATCTACATCTTCTAAGACAATGAAACTACACTTTTTAATAAAACGAATCTAACAAAATATCTTAAAGGGCTTTACTTTAAAGGGCTTTACATGTTGCCTTCCTAAACGTTCTAGTACTCTAAATGCAAAACCAACATTTAATCGCATGAATAATCCCATTTAAAATCTTGAAATGATTTAAATGTAAAAAAAATGTTCAGGTAAGAATAGCTGTATTTGAATGATAAGGATTTTGTAATTATAATATTTAATAATGAACCAGAATATAATACATTTGATAACAAAACACGCTTTACGAATGAGAACCTCATCCACTTGCAGTAATGTGCCGTCCTCATTGCTGAGACTAGATAAACTATAAGCTAATCACACTTAGGCTTTAATGAGAAAATGGACAAGTAATAACATCAAGTAGTTCTCACATTTCTTGAAGTGCAAAAGTGTAATATCATTATGTAAACCTTACACTAATTGGGCTGAAAACAACCTAAATGCTGTTTGCAGTTGTTGGACGAGCTAGAATATATTAATAGAAAATGTCTACTCATCTAATATAACATCTGTTTAAGTTATGTGATATACTGTTGCATAAATGATGCTGCTACAAAATGAATATGACAGACATTCCCACCATAAATAAACAAAAAAGCAATATTAAACTGCTTGTGGTAGAAGAAACGGAAGCCATGAACAAACCACTTCCAATATAGTATCACTCTGCTGAGTAGGTAAATTCATTATACAACTTTTCTAATTTGTATTTCCTTTCTGAAGAGTCAGGAGAAACAGAGTTAGACACTGCTAACTGCCCGGTGCCCTGGCAAAAAAAGCATTTACATTTTGATTCTCTTACAATGCAGAGCCTACAGCGGGAATGGCCCCTTGACTGGTTTTAGTACTGAAGAATGCTTGTCAATTGTAAATACTACATACATACAATAAACATGTTTGCTCTGGCAACAAATTATGGCCACACGATTTATTTATTCGCAGATTTTTGTGGCCACAAATAGAAACCTTCATTTTATGACAACGTGTACTCCTGGTAACTAAACATATTAGTAAATCTATAAAAAATACTATAAAAATACTATAGCAGGGAGATGTCAGAATTAGCAGAGTTATCACAGACAAGCTCCTCCATACACACACACACTCAGAGCCTGGTCAAGGTCGGCATGTCCAGATGCTTCTAATCTGGGCTCAGTCATTAATACCAGGACTTGCAGAAGCGCGCACACACAGAAAAAAAAGCCCAGAGCAGACACTTGACAGACACACCAGTCTGAGTGTCTG